GGTACAGCAAATTAATAATAAGTGGGTTCAGCAAAATTTCATAAACTGGATATCTAGAATGTCATAACCGAGTTGCTAAAATCATTCACTGGAAGCTATGCCAAAAGTTTGGATTTGAGTATAGTAACAACTACTGGGAACATCAGGTTGAGAAGGTTCTGGAGAATGAAAAAGTCAAGATCTTGTGGGACTTCAGACTGACAGGCACTTGGCCCACAACACACCTGACATAACAATAGTTGAAAAGAAAAAGTTTTGGTTCATTGACATTGCAATACCTGGTGATGCACGAATTGAAGACACGCAGCAAGAAAAAAATCACAAAGTATGGGGACTTACAAATTGAAGTTGAGCAACTTTGGAAAAAGAAATCTTGTGTTATCCGAATTGTGATTGAACCCCTTGGAGCGAGACCTAAAGAACTACCTCGCTGTTTGGAAATTCTGAATTTATCAGACTTGAACACCCTGATTCTACAAAAAAACCACCCTACTTGGAACAGCTTATATCTTCCGATGCTACCTTAACAGTTCCTAGGTCCTTGGTTAGGACTCGAGCTGTTGAGCTACCAACTAGCCCAAACGCTGTGAATCTCATTCAAGATTAACAGCAGCAACAACAACAATAATAATGACAAAGTAGCAACAATGGCGCATTGGAAGATCTGCAAGAAATATCACTTGCCTGTAAGCAAGAACTGGTGGGACCATTTAACAGAAAAAAGTCATAGAAAATTAAAAAGTTAAATTGCTCTGGAACTTCAGAATCCAGACAGACAGGCACCTGCCACATAACACCCTGGACTTAACAGTTGTTGATAAGAAAGAGCAAAAAGTCTGGATAGTGGATGTGGCAGTGCCTGGAGACAGCAGAATAGAAAGAACTGGAGAAGATAATAAAATACAAAGATCTCCAAATAGACATAGAATGACTATGGCAAAGGCAAGCAAGGGTGGTACAAATAGTCACAGGTGCCTTGGGCGCAGTCCCAAAACAACTGGAGCACCACTTGTACACCATAGGCATTGACAAATTTGCGATTGGTCAATTGCAGAAGGCAGCTTTACTTGGAAAGCTTCCATCCTGTGACAATATCTGTAACACCATCAAACACTCAGATTTTCCTATCCCAGGACCTTGGTAAGGACTCAATAGGTAGACAAAAATGCCAAAAATGCCAAACCAAACCCAGTCTGAACATCTGGCTGACTATGTGAATAATAACAATAACAATAACAATAGTATTCCAAAACTCTTTCAGTCTGTAATGACTGTGGGACTTCCGAATACAGACTGACAAAGTTTTGGAACACAATAACCCGGATAACACGATTGTAGATAAGAAAAAAGTGTGGATTGTTGACATTGCCCTATCTGGTGACAGCAGAATCGACGAGAAACAACTTGAAAGAGTCACCAGATATCAGGACTTGAGAATCGAACTGCAGAGACTCTGGCATAAACCAGTGCAGGTGGTTCCAGTGGTACTGGGCACACTGGATGCTGCTGTGCCTAAAGACCTAGGCAAGCACTTGAAAACAATTGGCGCTGACAAGATCACCCTTGGTCAGCTGCAGAAGGCCACCTTACTGGGATCTGCTCCCATAATCCGCCGATACATCACACAGTCCTAAACACTTGGGATGTGTTCCACTACTGATTTGTGATGCGAAACCCAGCATAGTTATCTCGTTTGCTGTGTATACTGTCATTTTTGTGTATTATAACAATACTTGGAACAGTTTATATTCTCCGACGCTACCTGAACAGTTCCTAGGTCCTTGGTTAGGACTCGAGCTGTTGAGCTACCAACCAGCCCCAAAGGCTGTGAATCTCACTAAATAACAACAACAACAATAATAATAGTGCCACACTTCTTCCAAATGCAGAATTTAAAATAAAGGCTTATTGTCTTTCCTTATTTTCAATAAATATTGAGTTTCTTAACGGCCCAAGGGTCAACTCTGCTATTGGATGAGAAAAATTATGCATCCTTGATATGTCTCTGGCAGTGTTGATGCTTATTTAGTTATTTCCCCACCTGATAAATATTCATTGATCTCGCATTTGTGAAGCATCTGCTTTTAAGCTCATAGCCACGATGCACAAATGATGCCAGTAACACTATGAAGTATTGTTGGGGTACAAAAAGCCCGTTATTGATATAAGCATATTAACTCCAGAATAATCCCAGGACATAAAGAAAATGTTCAGGTTTTGATTTTGGAAATGCACACCTAGTTTTTTAAAAGAGTGGAAAAATGAAATTGCCAGGTCTAGAAAATGAAGGATGCATTTAAAAAAAAAAAGCATTCTTTTTTTTTCCACCAAAAGGAAGAAAAGATATGATTACAATAAATTCTCTTTTATAAACAGGAAATTGTCTTACTGGTGGAAGGCACTAGGCTAGAAATCAGGAGACTGGGAGTTCTAGTCCCGTGTTAACCATGAAAGCTGGCTGGGTGACTTTTGGCCAATACCAGATGATGAGTTCTAGCTTTGCCCTAGGCATGAAAACTATCTGGATGACTTTCGGCCAATCACCAGGAGATGGTGAGTTCTAGTCCCGCCTTAGGCATGAAAAC